ATGATGATGATTACAGTTCTAGAAGAAAGAGAAAACTTGTAAGCTTGAGCATCTTAGGTCTCCATGTGGACATAAATGACCCCCAAAAGATGATGATAATGACTATGGCCTTAGACAAGTTGTTAAAAGAAAATGGGTAAGACTCCTAAATCGTTCTATAGAAAGGAGTATTCTTTTTGAACTCCTTAAAGAACTTGGCCATAAAGACCTTTTCCTACTCGAGAAGCTAGATCCAGTAATTCTAACTATTTCACAAATGCCTGAACCAATAATTCCAATAATCTTGCCAACACCAATACAAACTTTACCTTGTATTACTATGATGAGACCTTATGAGGAAGAATTTCCTCCTCTTAATCCAAGCAGAGTATCCTATTTGTATAGCAAGGCTTTTGAGCCATTCAGAAAATTCCTATTAGATAGATGGAGATGGGTCACTTGGTAAAATAGGCTGATGTGATATTGGATCAAGAGATGTACACTTAAGATGAAGATCTTGAATCGAATGATTATTCATTTCACATAAAAATTCTTTTAATTCAATTAAAGTGAAATTTTCATGTGCCATCCAGTAAGTGGTGATCTTCTGTAGGCAAGCTTGGTTGGCCACATAAAGTTTTCATGTACTGTTAAGGTGATATGGATGATGAAGCATAAAGAAAGAGTAGACCTTTTGTTTTTGTAGAGGGATTTTCCATAGAAATTACTTTGAACTACTAGAGTAAAAACATTCAAGGAGTCTCTATAGGGTTGATCCTTCATAAGCTGAATCATATTGATAATAATACATCTCCAGGGGAGGAACAGCTATAACACATATATAAAGAGAGGGTAAAGACCAAATGTACCACATGTGTTCATCTGTAATATGGCCTCTGATAAAAGGGACAATAAGGTTAGGAGCTTGAATATCAAAATATTCAAGTGGGGGTTAGATATGAGTTTTCTAAAGGTAGATGTGAAGCCAATAAATAAACTTCTTTTAACTAACTTTTAAATTTTTGGAATAGTGGTTGGACTGTGACTTAGTAGAAAAACTAGGTTACTGGGCATAATGTTTAGAATGAAGAAGGGTGGTTTTTTTTTTTTTGAAAAAGTGATGAGATTGATTTTCTTTTGAGATTTGGTGAGGTAGTATGCTATGGTATTATGGTTTCCTTTGATATGTTGGATTGTGAATTTATATAAGCAAACCATTCTTTCCATTACAAGAGTTGGGCTTTAAGGAGGATCTTCCTATTTGATCTAGGATTTTTAGGAATGACGTGTTGTTTATTTCTACCACAAAGTGATAGAGCTGAGATGAAAGCTGAATTTTTCAATGCCACGTTTCACAGATAGGACTTCTTTATATGCTACGTGATAATGTTTTTCAGAGTCTTTGAATTCTCCGTTGGCATAACCATAATAATGTCTTTTCTCATTTACTTCCTCAAGAAGTAAAGCTCCTTAAAATTCATTACTAGCATTAGTCTAAAAGATATGCTATCTTTTGTTAGGGATTCGAAGTGGAGGAGGATGTTAATAAATCTATTTTATGTGTTGGATAGCTTTTGTCTAACTGGCACCCTAAGGTGATGGATTTTTTCTCAAAAGTTTGAACAGCTAGCTAGTGTGATAAGACATATGAGGAATAAAGTCTCTAATATAATTGGCTATACATAAAAACTGTTGTACTTGAGTTTTGGATAAGTTGATCAGGATAATTCCTCAACAATATGTTAACTGGGTTGATATTGTCCACCTTGAATTAGCACAACTAAAAATTCTATCTAGGTTGTGCTAATGTATCATTTTTGAGCTGAAAGCATAATCCCGTACTGTTGAATAATCTTGTAAAACTGAGCCAAAAGGTCCTTATTCTTCTATTGGGTTTCTAAGAATAACAAGATATCATTAATATAAACAAGAGCACTATGGATAATGGGCTCAAAGATTCTAATCATAGCTTTTTGGAATAGTGATGGGGCAGTCTTGAGACCAAAGAGCATGACTGTCCATTAGTACTGGGCATTTGGAATGCAAAAGGTCATTTTGTATTTGCCCACAGTATCTATTCTAAATTGCCAACATCTTGCCTTGAGATCAAATTTTGAGAATATCTTGGCTCGCTTCAGAGCTACTATCTGAGTGTTAATCTTCAGCAAAGGAAATTTGTCATCTTGAAGAAAGGCATTGAGAGGTTTATAATCAATCACCAACCTCTTTTTCCCTCTTTGCTTTTCAGATCTCCTTTCTACATAAAAGGCTTGACAAGCCCAATATGATTTTATGGGCCCAATAAGACCTTATTTAAGCAGGGTTGCATATTCTTCTCTAGCTAAGGCAAGAACTTATGGATTCATCCCAATATGGGATGCTTTTATAGGCTTGATATCTTCATTTTTCTTGAAAGAAAGTTTAATGAAAAATTTCTTATTTTTTCATAGCGGAGATGGATGCTGAAATTGATCATGATTTTCACAATAAAATTTAAGAAGTTGATCCTTGATACGTTCATATCTTGAAGGAGCTCGTTGAATTTCCATAATGCTTGGGGTGTTGGTGTATTCTTTGAAATCCTGTTTGAAATGGATAACCCTAGGGATTATATGCAAATCTTTAGTTTTTTTGTACACATCAAATCCAACAAGGATGCCTTTAGTAGGGAGATGACTTTCAAGAACTTTCGTCCAATACGTACATCTAGGGAAAAATCTTATACCAATCTTTCTTTTAGTAATAAGATTTATCTTGAAGAGTTTATCATTAGCTGTAACAAAGTACTCATTGTGAGGGAGCCATTCTTCTTGAGGGAGAATATAGGGTTTCATGACAATTCTACAAGAGCTAGTATCTATGAAAGCAATGACAAAGACAGGGACATCATATTTGGAGGGTAGTATTTGGATTTTTACATTAGGATGTAGTAATTGAGGTGGATAAGGTGGTTGCTTAAGATTTATAAGACTTGTGGGTGTCGGTTTTAGAGGAGATGGGTTAATGCTTTGAATTGGGCCAAGCCCAATAACAAAGAGAGGTGGGTATTGATAGGGATACTGTTTATCATTTGAGTTATCATCAAAGATTGGTAAAACATAGCGAGTATCTTCATCCTTTTCTAATTGTTCTTCAAGAATGGATTCAAGATCTTGATCATCATCAAGAAGAATGACAGTCTCAAGGGATTGTAATAGTTTCATATCTTTTTTGGATTTATTGGAATATCTTTTTGCAAAATGTCCTTTTATCCACAGATAAAGCATCAGCCTAATCCCTTAGTTTTTGAAGTTCTTTGCTTGAAGAAACTAAAGGAACGTCATCTTTTTGATTTGAACAGTTTACACTTATATTTATGGCAATGATTTTTCTTTGTGCAGGAGCAAAGATTAGTTTCTTTGCACTTAATCTTTAGATAAGGCTTTTTATAGGCTGATTGGACTTTTGGCTTTCTTTTCAACATGAATTTTAGAAATTGTTATTGCTTATAAAGCTTATCTAGGGTAGACAAAGCTAGTTGACATATTTCTCTTAGAGAGATTTGCAACATATCTTTCCTTAGTGTATTAATTGCTCTGTGTAGTTCCAGCTATAGTTCTTCTGGTAATAAAGCAATGAATGTATGCCTGAGATTAACATCATTAGCACTATTTAACATATAGCATTTTTCAAACATTCATTAGAAATGCTTTTGAAGATCTTATCGATCAAGTAAATAACACTTTATCTCAAAAAAACTCTTGTCTGCTTCTTTTATCAATAATATTGAAATCTTCAAAAAATTTCTTATGGATTGCTGCAAGGAATTGAGAAGCATTAAGCTGAGTAGCGCTAATCTTGTCAAATTCGTTAAGACTTTGGAACCATTCTCTCAAATTTCCAATCATCCTTGTGAGAAATTCTGAAAGAACTTCCCATATAGTAACATCAAATCTAGTCATTTGTAAGTCAATCCAAGCACTAAATTCTTGGAGTCTGTCTCTCCATTTGTATGGAGGCAAGTCATCAAATGTGAACTAGGGTCCAGATGCAGGTTTAAAATTAGAATCTTGATGGAGGGGTTCATATTAAACTCCTTCCATAGCTTCAGATTCCGCATCAGGAGGATCTTCCATAACTGTTTCTATCCTAATTTCTCCCTGAGTTTGTTGTTGATGTGTTTGAGGTTGGACCATTGCAATTTTCGATAAATAAACTAGGTGTTGATTTGTTTTAGAATTTGTGTATTCTATGCAAGCCTTGATTGAAGCCACAGAGTTTATCTTTTCTTGTTCAAAGAAAACCTAGTCAAAAACAGCATTTCACATAGAAGCAATAGTTTTAGAGGGATTTGAGAGATCTTCAATCCCTTTGAGTTTTTTAAATGTAGCTGGTGGCTTGGTCTTTAGAGATGGAGGTGGTGACTTTATGATTAAAGATTTTTTTGTGATTTTGGTAAATGATGGTAAAGTTTAATGATCTTGAGGTTCTTGATAAGATGGTGGATTATAGGTCACAGATTTTTTGGTTTTTAGGATGGTTGTTTTTGGGCTTTTCTAAGATTATTTAGAAGAAAATGTTTATCTTTTCTTAGAATAATATAACTTTTAGTCCTTCAAGTTTGTCTCAATTTCAATTTGACTTTTTAAATTTAATTTTTATCAATTTAATTTTTTAAATTTATTTCGATTATTGACTTGGTCCTTATTATTTAAAAAAGAAATTATACTATTGAAATTTGTTAACTCAAATAATAAAATATTAATGATAACTATGTAAATTAGTAAAAATGAATATAATTATTTAGATAGGAAAAAAACCGACTTTGAAATTTTAAACAATAGAACAAAATATATTATAAGGGATTATATTAATAAAAATCAAACTCATTCATATTAACTTATTTTCATTTAGTTACGCGCGCGCGCACATATATATATATATATATATATATCAAATTATTAATATGCTTTACCCTTTTTAGAGGACTAAATTAATATATGAGACAAATTTAAGAAAGTAGAAGTTTCACTAACCCTACTTTCTTCGGTTCTTCGGTTCTTCGGATTGGAGGGATCAAACCTGTAGTAAGTTATACAGCTTATACTTTTTTGGCCTTGGCAACAAGAAATACAAAAAAAAAATGTTAAATCAGATTGCATCATATTGCATCATATTTCCCTGAAATTCAACATGCATCCAGCAATTCGGTCTCATCCCTCGTGGGACCCCAACGTCCACTTGTTCTACTAATTGGAAGGAGGAATAGAAGCGGTGGCGAGCAACGATGGCGTCCGAAATTTCTACTTGATGCATGGTGCTGAAAATGAAGCTAGAACACTAGATAAGCTTTAAAAACTTACTCCGCTCTCTCTTCTCTTCTCTTTTGACCCATTGGAATCTTCATGTAGTGATGTTTTAGTGCTTCTCAATTCTGGACAGAAGTGGGAATTTAGAAAGTGCGAACATTCATTGTTGGAAGGTAAGCTTCAGAATTGGGATTTTCAGATTGTGGGTTTTATTGGAGAGTTGAATCAAGCCATTTTTCAGCATAGCGGTAAAAATCTTCCCACCATTCTGGCGTCATTTTGAGTTCTGAGTTGCATATATAAGGATCAGTTTGGTTGTTAGCCGCAATATGGCAGCAATTGAAGCTAGGATACAAGGGATGAAGAAAACGTGTTAAAGCATTGTGAGTCATAAGATAAATACCCCTTCTTACTCAGTTTTCTAATTTATCTTTCGATTTGCTCACCTCTAAATCTGTTCTGTTCTGGCCAAAACGGTGGAAAGCAAATTGCAGTGACTGTTGGAAGCATGGTAATGTGGTAATTGGAGGCAGTAATATTGAGTTATGTGGTAAGTTATTTCCAACTTTTCCCATCAATGATTATGCTGAAGATATGGTAAATATGAGCTGTTACTGATTGGAAATTTTGCAGCACTGTGATGTTATTGAACTCTTGTTCTTGATTGTACAAATAAGGTGGCTTGGTTCTGAACTTGAATTGTATAGCAAAGAAATTTGGATTCTGCTTTTGGTTATATGTTGCTCATTGTGTTTCATTATGGGCTGCTGGAATTTGCAGCAAGTAACAGCTTTAATTGGTGAAAGAGTAAAGGAAAAAAGGAAGAAACTTGAGGTAAGAATTTCTTATTTGTCTTTGGCTAGTTCTGGTCCTTCTGGACAGTTTTGGGGACATAATTGTTGTTGAAACATATCTTTTATCATTTGAAGCTCTTATGTCTATGAACATTTTGTATCTTGTTTAAGGTCTTTGTAGGTGAAAAATACATATAACGAGGTTAGAATTAGTTTGGGTGCATGTGTGATTCTTGGTCTATCAAAATGTTGTAATTTTGTATTAAAAGAATTGACGGATCAAATCAGAACAAACAGCATGTTAAATTTCATGAGATTTCGAGATGGCATGGGAGCCAAGATCTATTCTTGAGGTGCACTTAATTTCTGTTCAAACCATTTTCAAGAAGTTTGAGGTTAATAATGATTTAGTTTCTTTCTACATAGATGCTTTTCTGACTAACGGTTTAGATATGTAGTCAAGATTTGGCAATTCCTGATTGTCCGATTTCATGAGTTTAGGCGGCCTATCTCAAAAATATGAGCCTGTGTAACTCGTAGGGAAATTGAAACTGAGAATAGGCGCTGCTTGGACTTGTTTATGTTGTGGCATTGAGAATGGGGTGGTGGCTCCACTGTTTCTGTTCTTGAACAGGATGTTGTATGATGAGGCCATGGCACTAAAACGCTAGGTCAGTTTTAGGAAGAAAAATAGGACTTTCTTAATTATTTTAATTATATTATAAAAATGGTTCAATGTTTTTAGAGGTAAGCAAACTAAAAGGTGATAAAAGAACTTACTAACAATCTGAATAGAATGAAAATGTTAAAGCAAAAGCTTATCATCCTCTAGGAATTTTGAATGCAAAATTGGGAGTTGCTTTAAGAAAACAATTGGTGGTATTTTTTCTTCATCTTGTCTTTGCCTTTGCTGGAGACAGTCTTTCCCAAATAACATAGATCCAAGTTATAAATTATTCCTCAAATACTTCTGATTAGAGTCCACAATTTGTTGGCCAAAATTGACAAGGTAGATTCTCTTTATCTTTCCTTGACTTGTTTGCTACTTCATGTGAGGGTCAAAGATATATGAAGTTGTAATACATTTAGAATATTTACCAACTTCTGATGCACTTATGATAATTTGTAAGAGTCCAATGTATCTTAGGCTTAATAGTTTTCTGGAGTCAAAGAGATTTACCTACTTTCATAATAGGAGTGAAGCACACGCACTTTCAAATGGCTTCATCCTTTTGCCTTAACATGCTTTTACTTAAACATTCTGAATAGTAAACATTTTTCCCTTGGATTTTCTTAAATTAGATTGGATCTTAATAATCTTCTGTTGCCCCCAAGAATCAACAGTGGGGTTATCTATACTTCTCACTGCTCGTGAGGTGCCATCCTAATACTAGGATGAAATCTATTGTTATATGAAAATTATGACACACACACGCACACACACACACTTTTCCTAATTTTATTCTAAATCTGTTGTTTAAGACAATATGACTAATTAAGTAAAATGTGCAGTTTAGAACTTTTCTTATTATAGGTTTTGGGCAAGGTTATTTAGGGTGTAGGTGGACATAACTATTAAAAAGTGATCATAATCAATTAGTCTATCTACACCTATCCAGTTAGCTTCAAATCTCAAAGGTTTCTTAAGCAAATCACATGATAAAGTCCATGAATATACTGTTCTTGTTTTACACAGGCATATCTAATCTAAGTATATAAAAATTCTGTGGGTTTTGATATCTAATCTTATTATTATCTTTTAAGTTTTTTGAAGAAAGGTGAATATCTTATCTTAATCTTCTAAAGTGTCAGATGTTAAGAAATATTTGTACATTGTCCGATTTCATTTTAGGGTCCCACATATGTTTACTAGGATCATAATTGAGAATATATGTTTCTTTCAAATTACCCACTTTAGGTTAGAGCTAGTAATTTGGGTCGGCCGAGCTTATTTAGGCCGGGCTTATTCGTATCGGGTCTAAAGTGTCCTGTCCTCTTTAAAAAGCCCACATCACCAAGCCCGACCTTAACTTTTTTCGACTGAGTTTGGGTTGGCCAGTCGGGCTTAGTCAAATTGCCAACTCTATATACATATAGAGTTGGAAATTATTCTAGTAGTCAGGTTTATTCGGACCGGCTTAAAGTATCCTTCTCTCTTAAAAAAACTTATATAGCCAAGCTCGGTTCTGCCTTTTTTCGTGTGGGTTTGGGGTGGCCTGTTGGATTTGGCCCAAATTACTAGTTTTACTTTAGGTATGCAGTCTATTTTTAATATAATCTTTTGTTTCAATTTATTCGCTTTTGTGTTCTCATTAAAAGGCATAAAGATCTAGGCTCTTAAATCCTCAATAAGCGGATACTCCCTAAGTATTACTTGTATGAACTTCCATTTTGGGATTTTGCAAACTATATATGCCTTGCCAAAGATTTTTCTTGAAGGTAAAAGTCATGATCTTAGTAAAAATTATTCCTAAGACATTGCATTGAGCACTAAATGATACCTCATAATCTTCAAAGCAAATATCATTGTAGTAAGTTCTAAATCTTGGGTAGAGTAGTTCCTGTCATGTCATAATGCCCTCTAAAAGGGGGAATTTTTTCTATTAATTAGGTGATTAATTATTAGGCATTATAGGAAATTTTTCTACAATTTGATTGGGAGATCATAATTTTTGTACAATAATAGTAATTATCTTGACTATTAATTAAATATAATTGACAATAAATATTTAGAGGCCTTATTTCAAGAAAATGAGAGTCCCATCATATAATGGATACCTTGAAGATTAAAAAGAAAAAAGAAAAAGAAAGGGGAAGCTGAAGACCAATAGAGTTTAGAGATATAAATAGGGGCAAAAAAGAGATTCGAATTAAAAAGTATAATTTAAATTTTTATCGAATTCATTTAATTTAAATTTAATTAGACTGGACTACAAATTAAGCCTAAAATAATTTAGATATCAGAGTCTATTATTTGCCACAATTAAATTATGCTACTAAAAGAGAAGAAATTCATATGGTTCTTGTTTGACCACTTTTAGAAATACCAATAGAGTTTAGAGATGTAAATAGGGGGAAAAAGAGATTTGAATTAAAAGTATAATTTAAATTGTTATAGAATAAATTTTGATTAAAATTTAATGAGACAGAACTACAAATTGAGCCTAAAATAATTTAGATATCAGAGTCCACTATTTGAAACAATTAAATTACGATACTAAAACAGAAGAAATTCTTATGGTTCTTGTTTGACCAATGTTAGATGTTCAAAAAGCTAGTTTTAATAAATTTATTTTGTCAGGATTACCTTTATAGACTTTTATCCCAACTTCAGTTTGCAAACAATTGTCTGTAGAAACTTCAATTTTGAAAATGCCAGTCCAAACCTATACTTGAACGTTTAATATGCCTCCATTGAACATTGACATTGTATTAATAACAGAGTATACAATAATTTGACTATAATTTTTATGTTTTGTAAGTCTAAAGCAGAGGATAGTGCACTCAAAATTATTTCACTCAAATCTTAATAGACATTACCCTTATGATTATGTTTGGAAACTTTTACTTAAAAAAAAAAAAAAAAGAATGTGTTTGGAAACATAAACTGTATCTAGAAAAAAAAATAAATAAATAACAAGAGAAGCGTGGGGAGGGGAATACACAGGGAAAAAGGCAAGGTAAATAATATTAATGGGTGAAATGGTATTTTTACTTTTGAACTATTTCACGAGAAGCATGGGGTGTCCTAAACTATTTATTTGAGCAATGTGACCCCTTAAGTGTTAAAATTGCTGCAATGTCATCCCTTGATTAACAGGTATTGATGTTAACTGTTAATTTTATATTAACATTGGATTAAAGAGCAATTTTTCCCTTAAAGTATTCATAAAGGGGTAACTAGCATCTTAAAGTTCAATAATGTGGAATAGTTGACATCCCTATTTTTTTTAATTGAAACATGCCACATTATTTTTAAGGTGTCACATGGTTTGCCAGCCAGGTATTTATTAGTAAAAAAGAAAAAAAAACGGTATGTTATTATGTACTAATGTTCAATTAATAGCACAATTACAAGTTATATCTATCTATACTATCATAAGTTATATAGGTACCATTAGTCAGTGATGTATTTAGTCAGGATAGACACATAATTTGTGGCAATACCATCAACTTATAGTTAATGTGGGCTGACAAAGCTTTTTTTTTTTTTTTTGACTCAGTGAGTCCTTGATGTGCAAGCCAAATGGCACCCATCTGTTTCTCCTATTTTTTAACCAAAACATGTGCATCATGTCTTAATGTTGACCATTAGTGTAGATTAAGATTTTTTTTTCTTGATTGACAAGTGTCTGATTAGCAAATTATTATAGACACATATAACCTGAGACAACGTTGTTGATTGATTGTTAATTAGGGTTGATAGAGTCTTTTTAATGATGAATACCTGGTTGGCAAAACATTTGCACCTTAAATATCATGCGATATGCTTGCTGCATGTTTAAATGAAAAAAGTAGGGATACTAATTCACATTATTAAACTTAGGATACTATTTATTCCTTCATAAATACTTTAGGGATGAAGATGATCTTTAGCCTAAAGTTAATGTAAAGTTAACAGTTAACGTCAATATTTGTTGGTCAAAGGGCAACATTGCAATGATTTTGACACTTGAGGGGTGATATTGCTCCAATAAAATAGTTTAGGGTGGTCAATGCTTCTTGCGAAATAGTTGAGAGGAAAAAAATGCCCTTTAATGCTAATACTAATCCTTCATACACTGTAACATGTCAGATAAGTATTTTGGTATTGTAAAACTAACTTGATTTACAAATAGGTGAATGCTAAGTTGAAATGGATTGTGATGTCATACTTTTCCATGGGAAAAGCATTGGAAAGTAAATTTCATATGTTTCTTCATTAATTAAAATTAATCTTGTTCTTCTGTTGATGACATGTGTATAATCAAAGGTAAGAAAATTGGTCAAACAAATTGAATTCACATGTTATAATTATTTTTATGTAAAGAAGTACATTCTGTTTTGCTTAAAGATTAGACAAAAAAATGCATGGTACTCCATATGTGTAAATAAACAAAACTAAAGATTTGAGGGTAACATGTAGTAATTTTCCATTAATACATGAACAATGTAAGTAGAAAACAACTAAGATTGAATTTAAGGATGCTTTTCCTCATGAAAAATTTAGTTGAATTCATGTATCCTTTCGGATACAATAAGTTTTGTGCAACCTCTTAAGTTGACATGTATATTGTAATTTAGTTTCTGTATAATGTTCAAAAAGAAAATCATTAAACAGTGGTACTATCATAGATGAGGAGGTTGTGATGGTGACATTAGGGCTTGGGCAATTGGGATACCATTGTAAGTCTAGACTAGGAACGGAAATTCAATAGAATCTTATCTTGATATGTATATAGATGGAATTGGTGCCAATTTGCATGTTACTTTTATGTGTCATCATCTCATGCATGAGTGGAATAAGAAGAATTGAGACTAATCTTAATATTATATGTTTATTATGCATTAGGAAAATGGCACCAAGAAGGCGAAGTTAATCTAGCAAATCAACTAGAAACCCATCTGATAGGAGTTTGATTAATGCTATTGAAGGAATGGCTGCTGCAATGCGAGAGCAAGCAGAAGCAATGGCTACTGCTAGTAGAGAACAAACTATCGCTACTGCATGCTTGGTCTAGATGTTTCAGGACCCAAAGATGAGGATTCAAATCCTGTTGAGAATCAAGAAGGGGATCTAGAAGAACAATTGCCTACTAATGAAACATATAATGCACCAAATTCTATGCAAAACCAAAATTTCCATGGTTTGGTTGAATTTAGGAAGGCTAAGCCACCATCTTTTCAAGGAGTGTACAATCCTGATGTTGCAGATGAGTGATTGGAGCACATGGAGAAAATTTTTGAGTTTATGGGATGTTTTGATACCTAAAAGGTATCTTTTGCAACTTATATGTTGGTTGGAGAAGCATACAATTTGTGGAAGGAGACTAAACGGACAATGGAAGCTCATGAAGTGGAAATCACTTGGGAAGGATTTAAGATGGCTTTTCTTGACAAGTATTTTTTGGAGAACGTGAAACATGAGAAAGAAATTGAATTTTTGCATCTGGTTCAAGGGATGATGACCGTGGATCAATATGTTGCCAAGTTTGAGATGCTGTCAAAGTACTCATCTTTCTTACATACTAATCCTGCCAAGTCATAGAAGGCTAGGGAGTTTGAAGTAGGATTGAGATTTGATATTCAAAGAGCAATGATTGCAATGGAGATACAAGATTTTACTATACTAGTGAATAAGTGTAGAGTTGTGGAGAAGCAGTTGATGGAGGTTGAATGGGATAAGCAAAGGAAGAATTTTTGGAACAAACGCAAAATGGGCAACCTTCAGAAAAAGAACTTCAAACCCTTAATCAATTACGAGAAAAGTAGGACTTTAACCCCTTATAGCAAATGTGGTAAATCACACAAGAATCAACATTGCTACCTTAGTCAAAATGTTTGCTACAAATGTGGGAAGGCTGGCCATTATATGAAGCAATGTCCACAGAATAAGGGTAAGGCACTTGAGGGGAAGAATTCTATTCAAAGGCCAATGACAAAAGGGAGGGTCTTTACTATGAGAGGAAAGGAAGCAAAGAAATCCACGAACCTGGTACAAGGTACATGTTTTATTGATGATGTTCCTTTACTTGCACTATATGACTCTGGAGCTATACACTCATTCATAGCTATTGGTTGTGTGAAGAGATTAGGACTACCTGTGATTGAGTTACCATATCAATTACAAATTCCTACTCCCATAGGGGAGAAGGTTTGCACTATACATGCTTGTTTAAATTGCTCTATTTAGGCTGAAAATCAATCCTACCTTTCTCACCTTGTTTGTTTACCATTAAATGATGTTGGTGTTATATTTGGCATGGACTGGTTAAGAGAAAACCAAGTGACTATTGATTGCACCAGAAAGTTTGTCATCTTTCGTTCCTTCCATGCGCCACAATTAACTCATATTACTGCCTACCCTAAGAGTATATGGAGGTGGATGAAGAAGATGCAAGAAGAACTCCCTTAAAGCAAAAAGAGATGTTAAAAGTCAATGAAATACCAATTGTTAGAGAGTACCCAGATGTGTTTCCTTCGAAAATAACTATCTTGCTTAGAGAAAGAGAGGTTGAGTTTGCTATAAATCTTATCCCCAGAGTTAGTCTTGTTTCCATGTCACCTTTAGAGTTGAAAGAATTGAAGGTTTAGATAGAGGTTGTCTTAGGCTATGTTTGGTTGGAGGGAAGGGGAGGGGGGGTGCCCCCTTAATTTGGGGGGGAGATTTTGGAGGGGAGGGGAGGGACCAAACAAGGGTAGGGGAGCCCCTCACCTCCTCTCCTCTAGTAAAATAGAGGGAGGGAAAATTTTTTTGCCTCCCCACCCCTCTCCTTCCCTCCAACCAAACACTACCTTAGAGAAGAAGTTTATTCAACCTAGTGTGTCACCTTAGGGAGCTCTTGTTTTATTTGTTAAAAAGAAGGATGGAAGTCTTAGACTATGTATAGATTATAGACAGTTGAATAAGATATCCATCAAGAATAAATACTCACCTTCTATGATAAATGATCTTTTGGATTAATTGAGAGGAGCCTCTATCTTTTCAAAGATTAATCTTAGGTCTGGATATCACCAGATTAGGTTTAAGGTTGGAGATATGCTAAAGACAGCTTTTAGAACTCGATATGGACATTATGAATTCTTAGTAATGCCTTTTGGGTTAGCTAATGGTCCAGCTGTATTTATGGATTATATGAATCGAATTTTTAGACCCTACCTAGACCAATTTGTGGTTGTGTTCTTAGATGACATTCTTGTTTATTCAAGGTTAATAGAAGAACATGAGGGACACCTTCGCCTGGTATTGCAAGCTTTAAGGGAGAAACAATTGTTTGCCAAACTAGAAAAATGTGATTTTTGGTTGAAAGAAGTGAAGCTTTTATGATGCATAATCTCAAGCAAGGGAGTGTCAGTAGACCCTAAAAAGGTAAAAGCAATCCTGGAGTGGAAAAAAACCCAATTTAGTTGCAGAAATTAGGAGCTTCCTAGGATTAGCTAAGTTTTATTGTAGGTTCATCCATGGGTTTTCACAGATTGTCTTACCTTTGACTAGGCTAACTCGAAAAGGAAATCCATTTATGTGGACCAATGAGTATGAAATTAGTTTCCAAACTTTAAAGGAAAAGTTGACTACCTCTCCAGCTCTAATTCTCCCTGATCCTAAAAGAAGATTTGAGGCATATACTGATGCTTCTAAAAAGGGCTTAGGATGTGTGTTGATGCAAGATAAAAGAGTTGTAGAATATGCTTCTAGACAACTTAAGTCTCATGAAGAGAATTACCCCACCCATGATTTGGAATTAGCTACAATAATGTTTGCATTAAAAATTTGGTGACACTATTTGTACAGAGCTGACTTTGAAGTATTTAGTAACCATAAAAGTCTCAAATATTTGTTTGATCAAAAGAAAGTTAGCATGAGACAAAGAAGGTGGATGAAACTCTTTAAGGACTATGAATTCAAGCTTCAGTTTCACCTGGGGAAAGCAAATGTTGTTGCTGATGCTCTTAGCAGGAAGTCCTTACACATTGCCTCCATGATGGTAGAAGAAGCTAAAATGCTAGAATATTTTAGAGACATTAGACTCTTTATGATTGTTTTACCCTAAAGCCTGTACTTAAGTGAATTAAAGGTAGAGTGTGACCTGAAGATACAGATCAAAGAGGCCTAACAACAAGACCAATCCTTGCAAGATCGACAAGGGTGCCAAGATTTTTCCCAAAGCATTGATGGGACCATCATGTTTCAAAGGAGTGTGTGTCCTCGAGATAAGAGAACTCAAATAAAAAATCCTAAAAGAGATTTATAGGAATAGTTACACCATTCACCCTGGATCCACTAAAATGTATCAAGATTTGAAAAGGATGTATTGGTGACCAAGTATGAAGAAAGAAATTTCTGACTTTGTATCTAAGTGTATGGTATGTCAAAAACTCAGTATCGAGAATCAAAAACTTTCTGTTCTTCAACACCTAGAAATTTTTGAGTGGAGATGGAATGGTATTATAATGGACTTTGCCATGGTGTTACCTCAAACAGAAACCGGTAAGGATGCCATTTGGGTTATAACTTATCGGTTAACCAAGTCTGCCCATTTTTTGCCTGTCAAGATTGATTACTCCTTAGATAAGCTTGCCCAGTTGTATGTGCAAGAGACTGTAAGTTATCATGGTGTGCCTTTAAGTAGTCTTTGCTGGGGATCCCATATTTATTTATAGATTTTGGGAATCTTTACAAGAAGTTTTTTGAGCTAAGATACATTTGAGTACTTCTCAGACTGATGGTGAATCAAAAAGAACAATTCAAACTTTTGAAGATATGCTTAGAGGTTGTATTTTTGATTAAGCAGAGAATAGGGAAAGATATATACCATTGATGGAGTTTGCATATAACAATAGCTATAATTTCTTTATTGGGATAGCATCCTATGAAACTCTCTATGGCAGAAAATGCCAATCACTTTTGTGTTGGTCTGAGGTTGGTGAGAGAAGATTGTTTGGTAGAAAAAAATGTTGACCACTCAAAGTAGGCAAAAGAGTTATGTTGATAGGAGAAGGAAACCATTGGAGTTGGAGGAAGTAGTGCATGTATTCTTAAAGATCACTCCAACTACTAGAGTAGGCAGATCCAGAAAATCCCAAAAGTTGAATGCAAGATACATTGGACGATTTCCAATCACTAAAAGAATTGGACTTGTAGCCCATCAAATTGCTTTATCCCTTAAATTGTCCAATCTTCATCCTGTGTTTCATGTATCTCAACTTCGAAAGTGTATCCTTAATCCTTCACACATTATAGTGGAAGAGTCAGTGCAAGTGACACCAAATTTGAAGTATGTGCCCAAACTTGCCAGGATAGTGGATATTGATTTAAAAAAAAAAAAAAAACTCTTGCGGAATAGGACTATCTCTCTTGTAAAAGTGTTTTGGGAAGGATTGCCCCCATCACAAGCGACATGGGAAACAAAAAAGCAAATGCAAAAGGAATATCCTGAATTATTTGACCATGGTAATTATGTTTTTTGAAGTTAAAATTCTTGCAAGGTAGGAAAATTTTTTAAATCTTCTCTAAAAAGGAATCTCATCTACTATTTAGTTAAATAATTATTTAGAATAATTATTTCTGTGCAATAAATAGTAGTAATTATGTAAATTATGAAAATTGATTGATAGTAACAAAAAGTAATAAGGATATAATTTTAAATGGAAAGATTATATGAAAATTTTATAAAGATAACAAATAATAACTAAATAATAAAATTTGAAAGCAGGATAATATGTTTTGTTAATTCATAAAGTTTCAACAAAAGAATTGTACATTGTGCATATCATTCATATTCTTTAATGCATGAAATTTGTATCGAAAGGCAAGTTCTTGTTTGTATTGTGGATAGAAACGACGTGATGTTTTCATGTTGTGGATTATTTGAAGGGAAGTTCTTATGTTATGCTCTTGATACAAAGATCATACTTTCTATGATGATGATGTGACTGAATATTGATGGTGGTTTTTTTTTTTTAATCCCCAATAAATGTCTTACATGTCTTCCATTTCACCTTAATCATTGGAGTTTCTTTCATAGAAAGTCAGTGCATAAGAGTATGGGACGTTGTACAATGTGCCTGGTCATTTAGAAAACAGAGTCTAGGTTTAGGGAACATAGATACAGAATTATGGGAAAGGACTAGAATATAGTTAATTTTTTACCAATTGCATGGTTACATAATTGTTAATCATGATAAAACTCATTACACATGCTAATAACAAGAGTGATTAAGGTGCCGAAATATCCAATAACATTTTTTCTGGCAGCTTTTGATATTCTTAAGTCAATAATGGTGAATGAGTATCCATTAATTTCATTAAAGAGACCCACCTTCTCCAATCTATTAAAATAATATGATGTTGATTAAGTTTTAAGGATAGAACTTAATGGATTAGGGAATGTTGGTATCTTTTATGAAGTTAATGGGTACTTATGTATCATTGTTAACTTAAGGAAACTAGAAGCATTTAGTGAAAAAGTTTATGGGTATTTTTGTATCTTAATCTTAAGAAAAAAATTGTGATTTTTGCATGTGGCAGCCAAATCATTATTTGTTCTAAAATGTTGGATCCTATTGACTAGAATTTCATAGTTTCCACTTTGTTTTCATTTTCGTGATCTATTCAGGTGCTGATACTCTGGATCGTTTTCAAGGCTGATTGTCTACTCTGCCATCATCATGTAGGGTTTTTATGCGAATAAGTTTGGGATTGTGATTTTGGATGTAACATAATTCTAATCCTTCATGCACCATAACCCCAAGGTGTAAGACAATTATGTAATGTGTTATTTTGATGTCATATGTATAAACTGTAGAACTCTGACAGACATATCGTGTCTCTTTCCAAAATGAATGGCTTGTGAATTTTTTGTTTTGAGCAAGCTCATGAGACAAGTAGTAGTGTCACAAATTTTTTCCCCCAAATGCATGCGGTTATGGTGCAAAGACCATACAAAAAATATGTTTTCTTTTTTTTTTTCCTTTCTGTTTTTTTTTACACGAACATATGACAACCAGATTCTGCTATTAATTGATGGGTATTGAAGTAAAATGAAGAAACTTATCTTAAAAACTAGCTGTTGATAGGGAGAATTAATACATTTGAATATTTCGTGGAACATTCCTTACTCTTAATGTAGGCTTTGATATTCTATATTACCAAATCTGTATCAGGTTGCAAGTTTGTGCTGACTTTGCTTCTTTAAATGTGTGGTTACAAGTGATTGACCTAATTCTAGTATTAGAAAGATGAAATTCTATTGTGAGGAGTTGATAACCCTCTTTTCTTAGTTAAATATACATATTTTAATAATATTATTTTTCTCACCATTATTTATTGAAGGAAAAAATGCAAAACTTCTGCTAAAAATTTAATAGTATGATTTATAAATAGAATAAAAATATTTCTTTATTTTATAAATAGAATCAGAGGAGCATGTGTCTTCTATAATCTTATATTTTGAATTTCAAAATTTGAAATATAAATATTAAATATAAATTCTAATTAATTAATTAATTATGGGCCAATATCAATAATTCAGCCAACCAATGGCGACCAAATCCTATAATTCCCAATAAAAAGAAAAAGAAAAGTTCCTACCATATGATAAGACCTCGCAATAAATAAATGCATAATAAATGGTTAAAATGCAGAAATATTTAGACATATTTTTTCTAAAAACTTCGAGCATCTACAAGTTAATAATGATACCTACTAACTTATTAACTTTATAAGTTTAACTCTTATAATTTACAGAATAAAAATTATTATTCTTTAAACATAAGTTGTAATTGGGGCTTATTATTTTGAAAACTTATTTTTCAATAATAGAAATTACACTTGTTAAGTTATAATTTTTTATTGAATTTTTGCGATTCATAAAACAAAAAGTTATTTTTTAAGTATAAGTTGTGATTAGAGTTTGTTATTTTAAAAACTTGTTTTTCAATAATAAAAATTATACTTAACAACTTGTGATTTCTCGTTTAATACTTGCAATCCATAGAATAAAAGTTGTTATTCTTTAAGTATAAATTGTGATTGTGACTTGTTATTTTCAATAAAGGTAAAATGATTTTTTCATTTTAAAATTTATTAACACAAAAATCTTTAAAAAGTTTAGTGAGATTATAACATTTCAAAACATTACATTATCATTTATATAATTTGAAGAATTTTGATTGTCATTTTTCCTAATTTTTATCTCTAGATCAACTTATCGGTCAATGTCATACTATTTCACATACAATTTCCAATGTCACATTTCCAAATCACAATATAGTTAAACAATAATTTTTTTAATCATACTCATAGCATTTTCACAACATTATCCCACTTGCATACAATTTTACTAAAACATATAAACATGTTAGATTTATATAAAATATGAAATGTAAGTAATAGTTTTCCCTTGGTTGCGTGAAACAGCCTCACGTCTCCTCAAGATTTATTTATCACTTTCTCCAAGTAATGTGCTATTGAGGTAAAGCTTTTCTCTTTATCTTCCTCCAAAACAATGTAAACATTTTCCTTTCTTGGTATCCATCTTAATTTAGATACACTTATAGTCAAATTTATAGGAATCATGATTCATATGCTGTGAATAATTTTATCAAGGATTAAAGAATAAAAATATTCTACAAATTTTTTGTGAGGGGTACTTAATATCTTAAACTCTTTGTTTTTTTGGAGAAATGTTGCCCGTGTACTTTTGAAATCAGTGCAATATTATCCTATTATAATCTACGTAAATGTTGGCGGTTAAATCTCTTGGTTTGACCAACACAGTTGCACGTGTTTGTCGCCTTCCTCATGTGGCCCCTTCCTCTCTATCTCTTTCCCCCTTTGGAAAAATCTAATGGCTGGTCATCGAAACTGTATCTCCCCACGCTTTCGAGGATGCTAGAAGCAGTGATTGGGCATGGTATGAATGATCATCTTCTGACATTGTTAGGAAGCAGCCATTGAAGTAAACCAAGCCAACACTGTGTTAGTGGTCGACAAGGCTAAAGAGTCCTCAAGTGTAGAATAGGTGGAGTCAGGCTATAATTGAATGTCCATGGAGCTTGTTGATGGCTTTTAGGAACACTAGCCGGCAGAGCTTCCATTCCTGGACAAGTCACTTTGTCTAGGTAAATCAACGTGCATAGCCACTAGCCAGTAGAGTCATCGCATATAGAAGCTTCATGCTGTCATTGTCGAACAAGTGGTGCTTAGATATGGGCTAGAATAATGGGTAAGCACCGTTTCGGACATAAATGCCATTAATGGAGTTGGGAATAGTGCCAATAATAGGGAGGGAATGGCATACGAATTGTTCTGGCACTGGAGCAAAGTTCTCAATGATCTAGACTCGTGGATTAGTGAGTTTTAGAAGTGAGTATTGTAGTTCCATGAGATTAATGTGTCCTTAGCTGTATCTAAAGCCATTGCTACTACCTTTTGGATTGTGTTATACGGAGATGGAGTTTTGGCTTTTGGTCGTGGCGTGAGAATCTTTCCCTCATACCCTTGTTAGCCATTATATTTTTCGAGAGAGGGGGGGCACATGAAGAAAATGAACTAAATATGCCTCTATGATGTAATTAAATATGCTATGATGTGTTGTAGTTCACATCAAATTATAACAATTCAACATAATGAATTAAATATGCCTCTATGCACAAATGATTTTTTCATTTGAAATTAGTATTTATGTATATAGAAAGTTAAACTATTGAACATTGTAGTTTCATTGTAAAAGATTTATGAATAATGATTTTCAAAGGATATGATCTTGAAAATGCATTTCAAAATAGTTTGCAATGTTCATTCTTAAGATCAAGAGATCATATAAACCTCAATATTATCAGCAATTTTGCTCACGCTCTTCTTATTGCAATCGAAGGTGCTCCAGCTCTATTACTTTAGTAGTTCTGGCCATGTTAGCCTCTTCTGCCTTCTACATCTATTGAGCGCAGAAAACGGCTTCTTTATAGCCCTTCTTTGAGACCCGCCGGGTAATGTGGTCAAAGGTCTTTCTTATTTGTTTAGCTTGCCACTCAAGATTCTTCTAAAGGCTTTTCATGGCTTATTCAAAACCTTCTTGCAGCTAGTAGCTTAACGCGCAAGTTTGATACAGGTTCATTAAGGTTTGATGCTAGTAGCTGGCGACTTAGATCCTGGGAATCCTTCCTCCCTTTCATCCCTGGGACATGATGAAGTAGTTTCGCACGCTGTGCCTGCAATACCACCTTTAAACCCTCAGGTTTGGTGTCATCTTGGTCATCAAAATATTTGGAATGGGTGTGTCTTAGTGTGGCTTCGACAAACAAGTCCCACCAAGCGTTCCAAAATAAGGTTGATGGCTAGATTTTTGGAGCATTATGCCCTTATATGTACCAAGCATTCCAGAGGAAATTCTATCATCAATGCGTATTCAAATCAGCAATTGCAAGTGCCGAAGGTCCTCAAGACTTTGAGTATGTGATACTAGTTACAAGGCAATAATCATTCATTGACGAGGAATGTGTGCAATGTGGGTGCTCTGGTTAAGAGTGAGAAGTGAAGTAATAAATTTAGGTGACCTAGATCAAAGATAAAAGTCTCACAAGGCGGAGTTTGGCTTGACTGAGAGTCATTTAAGTTGAGTAGATTGGTTGAGTTTGATTGTTGTTTGAGAGATTTTGTTGTTCTCCCTTTTTTTTATACGTGCGGGTCATTGTTTTGCATTTTAAATTTGAATTTTCCCCACTAAGTGGAGCTATAACCGTGCATGCCATGTAAAGGAGCCTAGTGTCACGGGCTGAGAGTCTGGCGCAGCACACGGCGCCCGTGCGGCGTCCTGGAGGACCCCATAATCCTCAGGACAAGCCTTACCACGTACGGATCACACTGGTTTCGCCCTGCCATGGGCTCATCAGGGAGGCGGCACTAGCCCCCGACCAGTTGTGCACACAGTCCGAAGACTGAGGCAGAACACCCCCAATGCTAATGTCGCCCCCTTTACCCATATTGTGCGAGGCTAACCAGCGGACCGATCATTATCTTGGTCTTTACACGGTCACGGAAATATCATCCGTGACATTCTCCCACACCCAATCTAGCACGCCCTCGTGCTAGGGGAGAACGACTCCGCCCAAGGATCGTACGTACAGTACTGCCACAAACACATCAGCTTACTTGCTGAGTGGCCACCCGAGTCCTGCACTCTTCGGACCCACTCGCACCCGCGAGCCAACAGGAGTGGAGTCGACAACGGCCAACCATCCCGCCCGAGTCCCCACTTTTGGACCCACCTGCTCGGAGGCCTTTCTGGAGCGGTGCCGAGGCCGACCAGTCCCAACGTGGGACCCCACGCGCACACGGCAGTAAAGTACGTCCTGCTCTGATACCAACTGTCACGGGGCTAGTCTTTCGACCCGTGCGGCACTTAGACAACCTTCACTGGAAGTTGCTAAGTAAGCCTAACTCGTATGAAAGGAGGATGCTTGGCTAAGAAGAGGAAAGGGAAAGCTTGAAGGCAAAGGAGAGTAGAGAGAGAATGTGAGAGTTCTATAGCTTTGAGAACTCAAGGATGATTTACAAATGAGGAGGGGTGAGGTATTTATAGGCCTCCCCTTGGATCTAGAATGTTCCCACCTCCTTAATGGACGGTGGAGATTAAATCTATCCTACGGTTACAATTGATTCTCTAGAATTCTCTTAACAAATATCTAGATATTTTAATGGAAGAATCTAGAGACAATATTAAAATATTGAGGCTAGAGTTGTGTAGGCTTCTCTAGAATGTTCTTGCACTATCTAGCACTCTTAAGGTTAGCTGGGAGCCTTCTGGAGGGTTCTGGAGCATTCCGGACCTCTTTAACCTTGTGAAAAATGACGAAACGTGACATTCTCCCCCACTTGATTTCGCGACGCCCTCGTCGCGCCTTCCTCCTTGTAGCGTTGGATTTGGTCAGTGAACTGCCACAGGAGGTCTTCACGTTCCCAACTAGCTTCAAAGTCTGGTTGACCCTTCCACTTGATTAAGTACTCGGTGTAGTTGGGAACTCCTCTCTTCCTGATCACCCTGTCGGCGAGGATCTCTTCTATCTCCTTGTCGTACTCGGTGATGACCGCTGTCGGTGCTCTCTTAGAGATACCTCGAGATGGATCTTCTTCGTCTCCATAGTATTTCTTCAAGAGACTAACATGGACGACAGGATGAATCTTAAGCTTGGGAGGGAGTTGTACCTGGTACGCAACCTTTCCCACACGTTTAATGATAGGGAAAGGGCCTTCATATCTCCTGACCAAGCCTTTGTGGACTTTGCGTAGTGACTTGAATTGATTCGGTAATAACTTAACCATGACCAAGTCACCTACTTGAAATTCAATGGGGCGCCGCTTCTTGTCTGCCCACTTCTTCATTTTTCGAGAAGCTTTATCCAGGCATGCACGAGTAATGTCGGCTTCTTCTTGCCATTCTTTGGTAAACTTATAGGCAGCTGGATTGTCTCCCTTGTATGGAGTGGCAAGTGTTCGTGCCATACCTGGATGTCCGGCCCACATGGAATCATGGCACTCTTTTAGGACATCCCTTCGAAGGTTGCCCCATTTCGGCACATAGACTCGGTTCCCAATGGTGTAGAGTATTCCATCATTCACCCAAAATCTTCGAGTCTTGCCTTCAGTAGCAAGCTTTACTAAGTTGCTTGCAGATGAGTCCTGAGACATACCTTCCTTGATTCGTTCAAGGAAGTCATTCTGGGGCATGCTTGCTGAGAGAGTGGCTAACTCGGCTTTCCGGCTTAAGGCATCCGCCACTACGTTTGCTTTGCCTGGCTTGTACTCCAACCGATAATCAAACTCAGCAAGAAAATCTTGCCAGCGAGCTTGCTTCGGGCTGAGCTTCTTTTGTGTTTGGAAGTAGCTCGTAGCAACATTATCCGTCATAATAGTGAACTTACTCCCAAGTAAGTAATGACGCCAGGTTCGTAGACAATGGATAATGGCAGACATTTCTTTCTCTTGCACCGTGTAGCGCCTCTCTGTGTCATTGAGCTTGCGGCTCTCGTATGCAATAGGGTGTCTTTCTTGCATTAACACGCCTCCTATTGCAAAGTCTGAGGCATCGGTGTGTACCTCAAATGGCTTGGAGTAGTCGGGCAAGGACATAACAGGCTCTTGCGCGACCATCTGCTTCAGCTTGTTGAAGGCATCCTGGCAATCTTGTGACCAATGCCAAGATTTGTTCTTCTTGAGCAAATCTGTTAATGGAGCAGTGATAGTTGAATACCCCTTGATGAACCGCCGATAGTAGTTCACCAGACCAAGGAATGATCTTAACTCTGGGACCTTGGTAGGAGGCTGCCATTCTTGAATGGCTCGAACCTTAGTTGGGTCCATTATGAGCTTTCCATCCTTGATCTTGTGCCCCAAGAAGTCCACCTCTTGTTTGGCAAAAGAACATTTTTCCAGCTTAATGTAAAGTTCATGATCAGAGAGTACCTGGAAGACTTTCTTCAAGTGTTGAGCATGCTCTTCAAGAGTGTTGCTATATACTACGATGTCATCCAAGTATACCACTACGAACTGGTCCAAGTAAGGGTGGAACAACTTGTTCATGAGCGTGCAGAACGTTGCCGGGGCATTTGTCAGTCCAAAAGGCATGACAAGGAACTCAAATGCTCCATATCTCGTCACGCAGGTTGTCTTCGGTTCATCACCTGCGGCGATGCGTACTTGATAGTACCCGGATCGGAGATCAAGCTTAGAGAAGTACCTGGCTTTTCCAAGCTGATCGAACAAGTCGGCGATCAAAGGTATCGGGTACTTATTCTTAATAGTAATCTTGTTCAAGGCCCTGTAGTCGATGCACATTCGCAACGATCCATCCTTCTTCTTCTGGAAAAGGACTGGAGCACCATATGGGGCCTTAGATGGTTGAATATATCCTGAATCAAGGAGATCTTGCAGTTGTCTCCTTAACTCTACAAGTTCTGGAGGTGACATGCGGTAAGGTGCCAAGGCAGGTGGTTTGGCACCAGGCTCCAACTCGATCTGATGGTCTACCTCTCTTCTGGGAGGTAGTTTCTTGGGCAACTCATCGGGCATGACGTGCTTGTACTCCTGTAGTACCTCTTGGATACCAGGTGGCAAGGTTTCCCGTGGCTTGGTTGGGCCATCCTCTTCCTCGGCCAATGAACGTACAGTGGCAATATACCCTTCTGAATTCTTGAGACCCCTCTTGAATTGTAAGGCAGAAATCATTGGATTGGATTTCTCCAAGCGTTTCAAGGGGATTACTCGGATCATGTTGGAGTCAATGACCACCATAGACTTGGCTTCGGGAATAGGGAAGGCATGTGCTTTGCAAAAGAAAGCAAGTCCCAATACAACTTTAAAATCATCCATAGGGACAACAGTAAAGTCTAACGTACCTTGCCAGTCCCCGATCTTCACCTTCACATCCTTGGCAATCCCAAGGACTTGTTTGGCTGGGGAATTCACCGCCTTGATGGTGCCTTCTCCTTTGTTGAGTTGGATACCCAATCTCTTAGCTTCTTCAGCCTCGATGAAATTGTGAGATGCTCCTGTGTCGAGCATGGCAGAGGCGGACTTGCCTTGAATGGCAAGATCAACATAAAGTAGACCCTTCTCTTCCTTCTTAGATGGGGAAAAGAGTCCAGTTAAGGAATTCAAGTGTTGGAGGGAACCAAGGTCAATCTGTTGCTCCTTGTCCCGGGTTTCTTTCATCTCAGCGACCAAGGCATTCATAGCCTTGCGGTTGGGGCAGTCCCGAGTCCAGTGTGGACCATCGCACACGAAGCATGGCCTCGGTGGCTTTGAGGCATCACGCCTGATTGAGGGTGGTTTATCCTGTCTAGAACTCCCACCAAAGAATCTACCACCATCCTTACGATCGAAATTCTTCTTTTGTCCTCCTTTGTCTCCTCCACTGCTACCAGGATTAGGCTTTTTGGACTTGGTGGAGTAGTCGATTATAGACTCAGCAGCAGCAATTGCCTCATCTAGAGTTTGCACTTTACGTCTATCGAGTTCTACTCTCGCCCAGTCTTTAAGTCCGTCCATGAAGTAGAAAAGAGCCTCCTTGTCGGACAAGTCCTCAATCTCGAGCATAATGGTAGTAAACTCTTTAATGTAGTCAGGAATACTACTAGTTTGTCTCAATCTACGAAGCTTACCTCGAGCCTCTGTCTCAGCATTGTGGGGAACAAAGTGCTTGCGGAGTTCTGACTTGAACAACTCCCATGTGTTGAGAGTGCAAAGGCCCTTTTCTCGTTCGGCATGCTTTCTGCGCCACCATAGTTGGGCTGCATCCCGGAGAAAAGTTGAAGCATTGTTGATTCTGATCAAGTCGTTAGAGACTCCCATGGCCTCGAAGTACTGTTCTAGGCCAAAGAGAAAATTCTCCACAATTGTAGCACTACGAGCCCCATTGTACATGGCCGGCTTGGGCACTTTCAGACCCTGAGAAGTGGCGTTTGAAGTACTACCACTAATAGGGCTACTCACACAGTGATGAGAATCCCATTCATGACGAATCTCATCCATTTGAGAGCGTAGACCTCGTACCTCATCTCTTACATATTTGCGGAGATCGGCGAGATCACGTCTGAGGGAACGAATGTCTTCCCCTAAATCATCGTTAAGGTCTGCAATCATCAACTTGGCAGCCCGTGTTATCTCAGCATTCTCTTGGAGGAGATTGTTGAGTTGATCGTTGAGTCCCCCTATAGTAGTTCTCACTTCCTCCATGTTAGATTCCAAGCTACCAACACGAGGTTCAAGGGACTCACCTGCGGGTGCCCTGCTCCGGCCTCGTTCTCGCTTGGACCTGGGGTGAGCTTGCTCCTGTTGAGCAAGAGCTTGCTCCTGTGCTTCCGTGCCAACGACGTTTCCTTCCTCAGTTGCCATCGTACAATACCTTCCTTCAAGCACAACGGTGGAACCGCGCTCTGATACCACTCTGTCACGGGCTGAGAGTCTGGCGCAGCACACGGTGCCCGTGCGGCGTCCTGGAGGACCCCATAATCCTCAGGACAAGCCTTACCACGTACGGATCACACTGGTTTCGCCCTGCCATGGGCTCATCAGGGAGGCGGCACTAGCCCCCGACCAGTTGTGCACACAGTCCGAAGACTGAGGCAGAACACCCCCAATGCTAATGTCGCCCCCTTTACCCATATTGTGCGAGGCTAACCAGCGGACCGATCATTATCTTGGTCTTTACACGGTCATGGAAATATCATCCGTGACATTCTCCCACACCCAATCTAGCACGCCCTCGTGCTAGGGGAGAACGACTCCGCCCAAGGATCGTACGTACAGTACTGCCACAAACACATCAGCTTACTTGCTGAGTGGCCACCCGAGTCCTGCACTCTTCGGACCCACTCGCACCCGCGAGCCAACAGGAGTGGAGTCGACAACGGCCAACCATCCCGCCCGAGTCCCCACTTTTGGACCCACCTGCTCGGAGGCCTTTCTGGAGCGGTGCCGAGGCCGACCAGTCCCAACGTGGGACCCCACGCGCACACGGCAGTAAAGTACGTCCTGCTCTGATACCACTCTGTCACGGGCTGAGAGTCTGGCGCAGCACACGGCGCCCGTGCGGCGTCCTGGAGGACCCCATAATCCTCAGGACAAGCCTTACCACGTACGGATCACACTGGTTTCGCCCTGCCATGGGCTCATCAGGGAGGCGGCACTAGCCCCCGACCAGTTGTGCACACAGTCCGAAGACTGAGGCAAAACACCCCCAATGCTAATGTTGCCCCCTTTACCCATATTGTGCGAGGCTAACCAGCGGACCGATCATTATCTTGGTCTTTACACGGTCACGGAAATATCATCCGTGACACTAGACTCCCGAGATGGGAGAATGTAGACTAAGGAGTGCTCCATGATCCCAAGATCATGGTTACATGGCCAAGATCTAGTCACCATCCTCTTGCAATGTGATGTTCTACTAAACTCCTTGAGATCCAACCCCTTAAGGTTCTGTTAGACTGGGTCCGCATTTGTCATCTCTTGTATTATACCAACCATTGTTTTAAGGGCAAAGGACAATAAAATCCCTTTGAATTATGTAAATAGTAATTTAATCCTTTGAAATGTTATAATACCAATAAAGTTTTTAAAAATTTTTTGTCATTAAGAAATTAAGCCAAATGACCAAATTGCCCTTAGTTTAAATATTAATTGTCATTCACAAGTTTTGTTTCAAAATTTACAATTTTTCTTTTTAAAATTGTAAGAATTCAACAGCAATTCATAAGTTTGCATTTGAAATCTTAATATTTCCCAAGTGTTGCAAATATCAATTACCATTTACAAGTTTTGTTCTAAGATTCATAACTTTTTTTTCTTAAAATCACAAGAATGCAACAGCACTTCGCAAGTTCGTATTTGAAATCCTAAATTAAGGACAATTTAATTATTTATATTAATTCCTTAATAACAAAAAAGTCTAAAAGGACTTCATTGGTATTGTGGGATTTTGAGAGACTAAAGTATCATTTATGTTGTAAAATCTAGTTAATATGGAAAGTAGAAAAGGACAAGATAATACAAGAAATGGAGAGAAAATAATGGAGAAGAATTCTCATTCACTAGTGTACATATATTTTGGATATGACCTCCATTTATAAGCCTCCAACCATTCAAGTCCTATCCTAATATTACAATTTACAAAGATATAATGAGGCATATAATGGTACATTATGTAACCTTTGAAGGTTATGAGATATTAAAACTAAGAAACTCCTTCCATGCCATTTATAAGGACAGTAAGGGTAAAGGAATCCTAAGGGCTATGAGTTATGGACATCTATAATATAATATTTATAATACTCCCCCTTGAATGTCCATCACAGATATTGTATCTTATTAAAACCTTACTAAAAAAAACCAATGGGATAAAAACCTAGTGAAAGAAAAAGAGTACACAGTATTTTTAAACATTTATTAATGTTGTCTCATTAAAAACCTTTTCAAGAAAACTCGATGATACAAAACCTTAGAAAGGAGAAAAGAGTACAACATAATATTTATTCCTTGTAGTCTCTCTTTGGTAACAATATCACTTCATTTCCCTTGATGACATCATCACTTTATGTCTTTGAATCTATGCATTCTAATTTCATACACCAACTTCTCGAATATCAAAGTTGGTAGTATCTTAGTAAACAAATTTGCAAGATTGTCACATGAGTGAATTTGCTGAACATCTATATCACCGCTCTTCAAAAGGTCATAAGTGAAATTTTTTTGGAAAAAATGTTTTGTTCTATTTCCTTTAATATATCCTCCTTTCAATTGAGCTATGCACACTGTGTTATCCTCAAACAATATTATTGGAATTTTTTTTTCAAATAATAAACCACACATCTTTTGGATATGATGGATCACTGACCTTAACCAAACACATTCTCTACTTATTTTGTAAATTGCAATTATTTTTGTTTGGTTTAATGAGGCAGCAGCTAAAGTTTGTTTTGTTGAATGCCAATATATTGCTATACCCCCATAAATAAATAAACATCTAGTTTGTGATCTACCTTTATGTGGATTTGATTGAAATCCTGCATCTATATAACCAATAAGTTGTGATCCAAATTCATTAAAATAAAATAATCCCATATCAATTATCCCTTAGAGATACCAAAATAAGTATTTAGCTCCATTCCAATGCCTTTTTGTTGGGGAAGAACTAAATCTTGCTAATAAATTTATAGCAAATATAATATCAGGTCTTATTGAATTAGTAAGATACATTAGTGCACCTATAGTACTAAGATATGGTACTTTAGAAGCAAGAAGTTCTTCATCTTTTTCTTAAGGGTGAAAAGGATCTTTTTTCTTATTGAGAGATCTTACAACCATTGGGATAGTTAATGGATGTGCTTTGTCTATATAAAATCGTTTCAATATTTTTTTAATGTAAGTTGATTGATAAAGAAAAATTTCATTTGCTAAGTGCTTGATTTGTAAATCGAGGCAAAATTTGGTTCTTCCTATATCTTCCATTTCAAATTCTTTCTTTAAACAATCACTGCCTTTTAGAGCTTTTAGAGATCTTCAAGAGTTTCAATTATATTTAAATCATCCGTATAGACAGCAATTATAACAAATTCTAACCCATTTCTCTTTATAAAAATACATGGAGAGATTGAATCATTTTTATAACCTTCATTTAACAAATATTGATTGAGACGATTATACCACATCTTTCCAGATTGATTCAGTCTATACAAAGATTTATGCAAATGAATTGCATATTTTTCTTGAGAATCTTTACATGCTCCTAGCAATTTGAATCCTTCAGGGATTTTAAGATAAATTTTTATATCTAAAGAGCCATATAAATAGGCTATAACAATATCCATTAGGCGCATATCAAGTTTTCTGTATATTGCTAGACTAATTAGATATTTTAAAGTGATTGCATCCACCATAGGAGAATATATCTCTTCATAATTAATACTAGGTTTTTGTGAAAATTCTTGCGCTACTAGTCGTGCTTTATATCTAACGACTTCATTTTTCTCATTTTATTTTTGTACAAATACCCATTTATATCCAACTGGCTTTACACCATTAGATATTTGAACAACAGGTCCAAAAACTTCATGTTTTGAAAGTAAATTCAATTATGCTTGAATTGCATTTTTTCATTTCAGCCAATTATTTCTATGTCTACATTCTTCAACTTATTTCGGTTCTAGATCCTCATTTTGATGCATTATTTTCATAGCAACATTATATGAAAATATGTCATCAACTATATTCTTTCGGTTGCATCTTTTTCCTATGGTGGCATAATTTATTGAGATCTCTTCATTATCTTCAGGTACCTGGACCTCTTCTAGGGTATTTTGATTAATTATGCCTCTGTACTCTTCTAGAGTACCAACTTCCTCTACTATGCCATGTTTATTTTGTGTTCCTTTCTTCTTTTTAAGAATTTTATCTTTAGAACCAATTGGTTTACCACATTTCAGACACGGCTTAGATTCATTTGTACTTTCTAATTGCCCTGCTGGGACATCAATTCTAATAAGAACATTTTCAATTAGAATATAAGATTTGATAATTCTTTTAAGGTCAGTAAATGCATCTGACAATTAATTTGCAATATTTTATAGATGAATTATTCTTGTAACTTCAAGTTCACATTGCTTTGTATGAGGATTTAGATAAGATAATGACAATTCATTTCAAGTAGTTTCTTTGTCCAGCTGCTTATTTTCTCCCCTTAATGTTAGAAAAATTGTTTCATCAAAATGGCAATCATCAAAATGTCCCATGAATAAATATCCAGTTAATAGTTCTAGATATTTGATTATAGAAGAAGATTCAAAACCAACATATATTCCCAACCTTCTTTGAGGTCTCATCTTTGTGCGTTGTGGTGGAGCAATAGAAACAAACACTACAGATCCAAAAATTTTAAGATGGAAAATATTTGGCTCCTAATCAAAAGCCAATTATAACGGAAAAAAATTATGATAATTGTTAGCCTAATGCGCACAATGCTGCTCCATATAAAGAAGTTTGGTCCTTAAGAGCATTGGTCTAGCTATCAATTAGAGGCATTTAATAAATGATTTTGTTAAACCATTTTGAGTATGGACATGAGCAATAGATTTTTTAATTGTTATTCTAGTTGATATACAATACTCATTAAAAATTTACAATGAAAATTCACTTGTATTATCAAGACGAATTGTCTTAATTACATAATCTGAAAACCATGCTCTTAATCGAATTATCTGGGTAAGTAATCTAGCAAATGCTAAATTACGTGTTGATAACAAACACATGTGATCATCTTATAGATGCATCTATTAAAATCATAAAATATCTGAATGGTCTACATGATAGATGGATATGTCCATATATATCCCCTTGAA